CTTGATTGAGACATCGGTCTTCAGGCTAAACAATTAATTGATTAAGCTACGATAGTATGATTTGAATTAATTGTTTAGTACGTAGTAATTCCTGAAAGGGATAGCTAGCACATTCGTGATATCCTGGCTGTAGAGAGTTGGATTAAACTGATTAGAATATGTGAATTAATTTGGATATGATAGGTAGCGAGTCCCAATGTTTCTCCCAGAGCTTTCTCTCATTGATTTCAACTCGACAACTTTAATTTGCTTGTTTTGTTTAATTATTTTATTATTAGAAAATAGTTTCATCACTTAAACCATTTACACTCTACTTTACTTTATAAAATTGGTAAACCTTAAGGTTGTACCAGTCTCTAAGAGACGATACCCTGACTTCCGGTTTACTACAAGATAGAAAATTGGCCTTATCCCTCCTAGCGGCTCAAGCTTTGTGCCTTCCTCCATCACCACCTCCTTCCACGAGATGCAAAATCATAGGCAAATGAGAGATTAGAGAGAATGATGCGGCGGAAAGCTATAGCAGCGACAGAGTTAAGAACATAGCGACGTGCTTCTGGGAAAACACTGACTAATTAAAAGAAAAAAGAGAGCGAAGTTAGCGAAGAGAGCACTCGTTCGACCCAATCCGCCCTCAATATTGCAGTGTTGGCCCGCCATCATCTGGCCCACACCTAATGCATCCCTACCTTCAATTCCGGAATTTGGTTTAGACTACACTCACTAGGCCCACAAAGATTGTCCTCAGGCCCGCATCTTGTACACGCACAACTAGAGGTGGCAAATGGATTGGATTGGTAGATTGGTGGATTGGATTGGTGGATCCATGGATCAAATGGATTGGATCTAATGGATTGGTGGATTCATGGATTGGATCAAGTGGATTGGTGGATTATCCATGAATCCAAATGACATCCTCAACCAAGGATCAATATGTAAAATGTAAAAAGTTTAGGTACTAAAATGTCACAATGAAAAATTTTAGGTACCAAAACGTAATTTTCCAATGATATTTTTCGTATAAAAAATTAAATTTTATGTACCAAAATGTAAAAATTAAAAATTATAGGTACTAAACCGTAATTTGCCAATGATCCATGGATCCAATCCATGAATCCACCAATCCAATTGGATTTGGATCAAATGGATTGGATTTAAATGGATTGGATTAGGTGGATATTTTTAATGGATTAATGGATTGGATTGATGGATTGGATTGAAATTGCCACCTCTACGCACAACACGAATCACCTCCATCTCGCGGCCCGCCTACGTTACATGAACCACCCCTGTCCGGATTCGCCTGCAACAAGTGGTCGCCCTACATTCACCATGCGGTTGCCCGGCCCGCCAAAGAACAACTTCACCTCGCGGATCTTATAGCGTGTCCGGACAGCCCACCGCCAATCGTTGCTCAGTCCGCCCCACCTGATATCATCAAGCTTATAAAAATAATTCAGCCTCCCATGAGATTTGATCCCATGTCCAATCTATCCCAAGCAAGCGCACTAGCTGGTGTGCTACAAAGAACTCTCATGAAACTATGATGCGTCAATTTTGCATTGCAGTACGCCAACTCCCACACAACTTGAGCCCAACCTGCCTCACAACATCCCGCGGCAGATCACTCGCGCTAGACTCGCACCAACCCGGTCGGCAAATATGTATTTATCACATTGGCCCGCCTCCATCCAGTCCGCCCCAACCCCGTGTACCACGCCATATAGGCCCACCTCCAGCTGCCATACCACTTCGCGGCCCACCTATGGAGCCAACATCAATGTATGTTCCCTTTAAAGACAAAACGTCATTGCTAGGGCTCGAACACCCATCCTGGCCGAAATGCTTCATCATTCAAGGACGCTGCCAGCGCTCTACAAGACAACCTCTTCAAACTAAAGTGCATCACTGCTATTTAAGCCCGTCTCTACAATTTACATATAAGTACTTTGCTTCTCTAAAACATCTATTTTGATTTTAAATATTGGACTATTATGCGCACTGATATGGAACATGACACACAAAGCAACATATGAGCATCGCTTGAGGATCTCCAGTATAAGGGCAAATAAGCCTCTAATATGAGTGATCTCCGCGGCATGAAGATCTTCAATATGGGAGCGATCGACTACCTCCATTCACATTACGTGCGGCTACTGAAGCCACTTTACATCTTTGTTCATGTAAGCCTCGACAGAAGCACAAAAATAAGTCTCCGACAAGAGCATTGGTATCTCCATTCATGTAAATCTCGACGGAAGCGCACAAATAAGTCTTCGACAAGAGCATTGTCATCTCCATTCATGTAAGCCTCGACTGAAGCGCACAAATAAGTCTTCGACAAGAGCATTGGCATCTCCATTCATGTAAGTCTCGACTGAAGCACACAAATAAGTCTTTGTAGGCCCGGCCCAGGCCCTGTGCTGGTCATACCCACAACACAGGGCCTCCAAACATATGGGGCCTCATGATTTGGCCCATGAAATTATATATAAACATACTAAAAATAATATTGGGCCTCATAATTTGGCCTAGGGCCAACATCCCGCTTGGCCGCTTCCGTCAGTTTCGTCCGTGCCGCTGCCAGTAATTGGGAATTGGTAAGTTCTATTTTTTTAATTATTTCCAAACGTGGAATTTTGCTTAATTTCTATAAGTCAATTCCTTGCATTTGTAAAACGTGGAAATTCAGACAAATTCCCACGTTCCCAAATTTCCACATCCAAACGACCCCTAAGTAGTAGTGCACCAACATTGTGGTGCACTAGCATCCACGCTAGCGATGGCGCCCAACCTGTCGCCCAACCTTCCGCGCAACCAGTGCCCGCCACGTCTATACAAGAGCTTCCAAACCCTCCAAAGAGAGGACTATTCTTCTCTTCCCTCACTTTACACTTTAACTCTCTACATTATTCTCTCAACCTGCTCTGAATATCAACTAACTTGATCGTTGGAGATTAATTCCGGGGCATCCTCTTCTTCTACAGGTTTCTTCCCTCCCGACGAGATCACATGAAAGAATCGTGAATCAAGCCCACACTAACAAATCATTATTGTTCGTATCCAGAGCTAGATGGTACAAACATATTGAAATATTCTTTTCATGTCACTTATCACGAGATGCTATTGCTAATGTTATATTCCTTATTGGCATTTATGGAAATCTCGGTGTTGGACCAGTCATAAACACATTTAATATCAGGGTGTAGCCTTACTGTGTCAATTTCACAAACAATAGGAGGAGTGGAAGGCTACTTCAATTCCTATGACTATACATAGGTATGCTTCAACATCTCTAGTGTCAGCAAGGAGAACACATTCCTACGTTCAGGATGGAAACTGTCCTAGGGGTGCTAACTCATTTTGAGGGGCATGGGGAAGGATGGAGGGGGCAATATTGGTTTGTTGGTTAATCTATCAATGAGATGCTTCTTTTTGCATACGAAAAAATTCTATCCAGGTATTATTGACCCTTTATTAATGGAATTATTAGCATTGGGTGATGCTTTTACATGGTATCTCAATCATGGTCTTCTCAATGTAAATTTTTGTGGTGATTGCCAAAACCTCGTGCAACATGTTCAGGAGCGAAATGTGACTCATGGTTTGGGTAGTGCATTGCTTGAAGAAATTCGGATGGTTATACTTGTCTTTTCTTATTTTTATGTATTTTTACTCCACAAGTTTAACAAAGCTGTCTATTTTAGTGTCTAAAAGGCCCTTTTATTGGCAATTCGACTATTGATCGACCATCGTATTTTGTTGTGTAATGCTTTGTGACCATCTATAACACTAAAAAGAAAAAAAAAAGAGAGATAGTAATGATACCGATACACCAACGAAACCAACTAATAAAACCGGACCCCCTGATAAAAAAATCCCATAGTGGAACACCTTAAATATGCCTCAAATAGAACGGGCTTTCATGGCCCAACATCAATAGCATTGGCAGCCCTAGGGGTGATCGTTGGTTTGGTTGCGGTTTAACCACACTGATTTTTAGGTTAGTCAGTCACCGTAAATTGCCTAAATGACTAACCGAAGTGCACCGATTATGCTGGTCGGTTAGACGCAACCGCAAATGTCGGTTCGGTTAGACAGTCAACCGATATATTAAATGGGGAGAGAAAAATTAGAAGAAGGAAGGGGAATTAAATGGGCGGACAAAAAAGGAATGATGAATTAAATGGGTCCTAAAAATTCCTTCTCTCTTCAGTCTTCTCCGCTCCCCCTCTTCTCTCTATCACTCATACTATCAATCTCGGTGACGATTTCGGCGGAGGCGACCTCAACTCCTTGCATTTAAGCCTCTCTTTCTTCAAGCAAAGTCGCTAATGAATCTCATTGTTCGGAGGAGGAGAGATTTGGTGGCTGTTGGCTACGACGATTGGCGGCGACGAGGGAGGTCTGCGCTCATGATTCAGGGGGAGGCCCAATAGCAACAACTTCTAATGGGGCGGCGATGAAAGGGGAGACCCAATAGCAACAACTTCTAATGGGGCGACGATGAAAGGGGAGGTTGCGGTTTGGATTCTCGTGGTCCGCGAGGAAGACCACTGTGCAGTGTGCGATTGAGGCCGCAAAATGGTCAATTGGTGCCGAACATCGACAATTGTGGCTGGAAAAGAATGGAGGGGAGAGAACAACGTTGTCGAGAATGACGGCGGCGAGTTGGGGTGGAGAGATCGGGTGGTCGAAGGAGAGTTGGCCGGTTAGTTACCGGTGCATCGGAACAACCGATTAGCGAAAAACACAAATTGACACAACCGACCCCAAGACCGAAGGCTTATTTATCGATTTTCAGTTAGCCGTATAACCATTTTTTCGATTCAATTTTTCGGCTAACCGTCCACCGATTATCACCCCTAGACAGCCCCACGAAAGATTTGAAACCAGACAAAAAAGTTTGAAATTTATCATTATACTATTCAAAATACAGCGGACAGTTGTATTCATGGACCAAACAAACTATGAACCGTCGGATCCACAAGGCTCGAAAACGAAACGTCGGATCATCTTCCAAAAATGAAATAGAAAAAAGCAATAAAACAAGAGAGCGGGGGTTCTGAAAATTTCAAATCCCATCGCCAGCCCGCTCGCCATCTCACATTTTCACTCCCCGCCTGGGAACGCGCAAGAGAAACCAAACGAGACAGATCGGTATCGGAGAGGAAGTCAAAGCAAAGAGAGGATTCCGACGGAGAGCAGATTGAGGAGAAAGTGAGAGTGCCAACTGGGAGTGTACCTGCGGAGAGACTACAAGTAGCGAAGATTGCGTCGCCAGCTCCGTCTCCATCCAGGGGCGGTGGATCCAGCAGCAGAGCAAGAACTCGGCCGCCTTTTCTCTCTTCATCAGGAAACGGAAGAATGTCCGGCCGCGAGAAAGAGAAGGGTGTTAACGTTCAGGTCCTGCTTCGTTGCAGGTGAGAACTGAGCCGAGTTTGTTAGGGTTTCCATTTTGTTGAAGTTGTCAATTCGGATTTCTCTGGTTTCCTTGGACTTGAGCTTTGTAACCATTTAACTGTCGTTTGATTAGGCCGTTTAGCGAGGATGAGCTGAGGAGCAATGCGCCGCAGGTGGTGACTTGCAATGATTACCAGAGAGAAGTGGCGGTTTCACAGAATATCGCCGGGAAGCATATAGACCGAGTTTTCACATTCGACAAGGTAATTTTTGCTGGTGATAACTGAACCCAACGTTGCTGGGTTGTTCCCAGGATTAGAGTTTGAATTATCTGTTGGATACTGGTACTTGCCAGTTTAAATTGAAGCAATGCTGTGGAGAGTATCAACACGTTTGCGCTTTATTCAGTGTTAGATGAATCCCTTTTTAATTGTAGCTAGTGCCAGCGCTCCCACTCCGATGAGGCTAGGACTTGAGTTCATATCCTGATTTTTGATTGGTGTCGTTTTCAGGTCTTCGGTCCTTCAGCTAAGCAAAGGGACCTCTATGACCAGGCAGTAGTACCTATTGTAAACGAAGTTTTGGAAGGTTTTAACTGTACCATTTTTGCATATGGTCAAACTGGTACAGGTAAGACGTACACCATGGAGGGAGAATGCAGGAGGGCAAAGGTACTGTGATTTAATTGCGTTTCTAGTGTGTTTCTTTCTATGATCTCTCTCTTTTTCTTTAACTTGATTCTTTGCCTTGTTGCTCCAATTTGAAAACTGAACAGAGTGGGCTTAATGGAGAACTGCCCCAAGAAGCAGGAGTTATTCCTAGAGCCGTCAAGCAAATTTTTGATACACTTGAAGGCCAGAATGCCGAATACAGTGTGAAAGTTACTTTCTTGGAGCTTTACAACGAGGAAATTACTGATTTGCTTGCCCCAGAAGAAATTTCTAAGGTAGCTTTGGAGGAGAAGCAAAAGAAGCCGTTACCACTTATGGAGGATGGGAAAGGTGGAGTTCTTGTTAGAGGTCTGGAAGAAGAAATAGTGACAAGTGCAAGCGAGATTTTCACTCTTCTGGAAAGAGGTTCTTCAAAACGCCGAACTGCCGAGACCTTACTAAACAAACAATCCAGGTAAAAGTGATTCTTGGGTGGGCGTTTCACTTACATCATGTTTAACTGCACAGTCATATTGAGGGCACGTCTTCTGCTACAGTCGTTCGCATTCTCTCTTTTCCATTACAATCCACATCAAAGAACCGTCTCCTGAGGGCGAGGAACTAATCAAATGTGGGAAACTGAATTTGGTGGATCTAGCTGGTTCAGAAAATATTTCCCGGTCTGGTGCCAGAGAGGTATTTGTTCTCGTTCTTGTCATGATCTTGTTCAGGTTGACTTCATTATATTGATTAATGAATAGCCAAGGTTGCTTAAACTAGGGCCGAGCCAGAGAAGCTGGTGAAATTAACAAAAGTTTGCTTACACTGGGCCGAGTCATTAATGCTCTCGTGGAGCATCTTGGACATATTCCATACAGGTTTGAGTGGTTTATTCTCTGTTAGTCTGCATAATACTCCTATTTCATTCTCTTCTGACTGGTATCTGTGACTGAAATTTTCAGGGACAGCAAGCTCACTAGATTGCTTCGTGATTCACTTGGGGGAAGAACAAAAACCTGCATTATAGCCACTGTTTCCCCTGCTGTTCACTGCTTGGAAGAGACATTGAGTACACTGGATTATGCACACCGGGCCAAGCATATCAAGAATAAACCAGAGGTTTGGTTCAACCTTTCATAATACATATTATTGGAGATGCTAGACATCTAGATGTTTTATTGCTCAGTAAGCTGAGCTGCTATATGTTATGTGTAGGTGAACCAGAAAATGATGAAATCAACCCTTATCAAGGATCTTTATGGTGAAATTGATAGACTGAAGGCAGGTGAGAAGGTTTCATACTGCATAGCATTGCCACTAGTATTGTGATCAAGTGACTGCTGTTTTTTAGTTGTATTGACTTGGCAGCAAATATGTCATTTCTTTCAGAGGTTTATGCTGCTCGTGAAAAGAATGGTGTCTACATCCCCAAGGAACGATACTATCAAGAGGAGTCGGAAAGGAAGGTATTTATCAATTCGCAGTATGAGTTTGTTTATTGTTTCTGTTGATTTATATGAGATACTTGGTTATATTTCGCTTTGTTTTGCTATTCCTATAGTTCTTTCGCAGTAGTCTCATGTTTTTGTGTTGGCATTCTGTTTATCCGTAGGCTATGGCTGATCAGATAGAACAAATGGGGATCACTATAGAAACTCATCAGAAGGTCAGTGAAGAACTTCTTTTCAATTCCTGGAGGAATATTGAATTTTCATTTGCTGTTGCAAATCGTTTGATTGTTATACCATTCATTTCTGTGTCCTCCTTTCTATTATGTGGGCAGCAACTTGAGGAATTGCAAGAGAAGTATGATGTACAAGTTCGGCAGTGTTCTGATCTAAGTACCAAACTTACTCACACAGAGGTATTGTGCTGTCATATCTATTAACAAACAATTTTCAGCAGGGTTAATTGAATTATCTGGTACCTGCAGAAAAACTTGTTGGAAACAAGCAGATTGCTAGCTTATACTGAAGAAGAACTGAAAAAGTGTCGTTATGCACTGAACGAAAGGGATTTCGTCATTTCTGAACAGAGAAAAGCTGGTATAGTTGATTGGTTAAAGCATTGTATTATCGTTTTATCGTATCTATGAACCACATTAATATTTTTATTCTAAATGTTGCAAACAGAAAATGCTTTGACTCAGCAAGCTTGTGCTTTGCAGTCCGACTTAGAGAAAGCTCTAAAAGACAATACTTCGTTGTTTGAAAAGATTAGTAAGCAGTTCATGGCTTACTATCGCAGCACCTACTTTTCTGATGTTATACTTAAACATGCTTACTAATTTAGTCCGTGTACAGGTAGGGAAGACAAATTGCATTCTGATAATAGATCAGTAGTCAACAGTTTCCATTCAGAGCTCTGTCAGCAGATTGGTTGTCTTCGTAGCATAGTTGCAAACTCAATTTCTCAGCAGGACGAGCATCTGCAGTGTGTTGGCAAACTCTGTAATTCTTTTAGGGAGACCCATGACAAGGTACTGAAGGACACATGACCAAATTTTGAATGATTCATCTTCAATTTTGTCTAATACTTTGTCTGTGTAGGCGGTTAAGGAAATGAAGAAGAAATTGACAAACACGAGGACAGTATACATGTCCCACATTGAAGCATTGCAAAATGTGGTTCGTCTGCACAAGTCGAATTCTGTTGCTGGCCTTGATGAGATCTCAACTTTGGCTTCCTCCAATGCGCAGTCTATTGAAGATGTAAGAGGCAACATGTTTTCTTTTCCCTCTAACCTTTATTTGAGTTCTAGTTTTCTTTTCGTATTTTAGGTTTGGTTTGTAATTGTCTCATTTTGGTTCAGTATCTAGCTTCAGAGGGTGTCCAAGCGGCTTCTGTATTTGATGATCTCCAGAACGCTCTCTCAGCTCACCAGGGTGAAATGGCCATTTTCGCAAGGGAGCTACGTCAGGTTATTCCTTCTTTCCACATGAGGATTGAACAAATTATTACTTGTGTACATAGGTAATTTCTATCTGGACTTGGGTTTGATTGCTTGGATATTCATTTGACTTGGATGACAGAGATTCAATTCAAGTAGCGAGCAAACAAAGCAGATTTCAGATTACACAGATGGATTCCTTAGCAAACTAATGGACCAATCCAAAACTATCCAAAATCATGTGACGGGAGTTGACAACATCCAAATGAAGAGCATTGCTGATTTTCAGAAAGCTTATGAGGTAAGGCTGAATAGTTTGCAAGTGGTTGATTTATGTTTGTTCCCCTATGAACATCATCCTCATGGCACTTCTTCTGCAGGAACAATCCAAATCTGATGCAGAGAAGTTTCTTGTCGATGTCAGCAATCTTTTTTCTAATCACATTCTCCGACAAAAAGAGCTGGTGAATACAAGGCTTGATGGTCTCAGAGAAGCAGCTGTTGAAAACCGGTCATTTATGGATGGCCAAGTTTCTTCATTGAAGAATATTGCCACGGAAGCGAAACGAAAGTGGCAGGAGTTCTGCGTCCAAGCTGAAAGTGACGCCAAGGGTGGTGCAGATTATTCTGCTGCAAAACATTGTCGCATGGAGATACTCCTGCAGCAAAGGTACTAGCTGCTGCTTCTTTGTGGTCCTTATGTATTTCTTTCCCCACTGTTTTGATACTTACCATTTGGTGACTCTGTAGTGTGACCAATGCCGAATCAGCTTTCCAGCATTGCAAAAAGACTCGTGACTCTGTGAACGAAATGTGCACCAAGCACGTCTCGTCTTTGTCTTCCCTCGTCAGGTAATAACCACTCTGCTCCTTCTGGACTTCCCTCATTATTTAGAGCTCCGAGTCCCCAGAATTTCTCATTGTTTCTGTTTCATGTTGTAGAGATGCAACTGATCACATCGAGCAGCACGATGCTGATATTGATTCAGCAAGGACAGCAGCCGAGCATGATGTAGCAACGAATAACCAAGAAATTCTTCAGCACATTGATGGTAAGTGTTTGTGATCCCCGTTACATGTCCTCAGTTCATAAGCAGCATTATCTGCATTATCCATAAGTTGACAAAGAAAACAAACTTATCTTCCTTCTTGGTTGCCTGCTGCAGGTATGTCAGCCCAAGAACGGGAATCAGTTTCAGGCATATTGGGCACCGTCGAAGCACACACGAAAACGCTGGAGACATTCCGGGAGGATCACTCCGGCCAAGCGGCAGTTATGGAGAAAAAATCACAAGAAACCTTCCAGCAGCACTTTATGGTACGTACGGTAGTCTGAACTAATGCTGCAGCATAATATACAAATCCCATATGGCCAATTGTGAATCGTGATTCCTTGGTTGTGTTGATGCAGGATTATGATCCAACGGGGACGACTCCGATGAGGACAGAGCCCGATGTTCCAAGCAAGGGGACAATCGAATCCCTAAGAGCAATGCCGATGGAAGCATTAGTGGAGGAATTCCGGGAGAACAACTCTTACGACTCGTTTGAGGTGAAGGAACCCAAAACACCTCTCGTCCCACGCTCGCCGCTCGCCGAGATCAATTAGTTGGGGAAGGAAGAAAACAACTGCATTCTGGCGGCCGAACTTTATTCTTCTCCCATATTCATATACACACTTTCAGTATGATGCTTCAGTTTGTAGCTTTGCTTGTACCATTACTGCGCACTCTCTCGTAGCCATCCATTAAGTTTCGGTTTCTGAGTATTGGCTGTAATGCATGAATAAATCCCTTCTCGGGATTTAACTAACTTTTTCCTGTCGTTGTATCCGCCTAGCGGGGAAGAATATGTTCAAAGAGGCTAAAATGCTATAGACGACGACCTCTTCTATACTCTTTGGTTTTAAGTATACTAGTCAAGGACTCGGCTAGTTGGCCGGAATTAGGCGTCAATCACATAAATAGTAGACCTCGCAAATTACAACTTGATCTGTTGACCCGATTCGACCTAAACCCGTCCGAAAAGTAGAAGTACTATAACTCGAAATTCGAATGATGCGAACCCAATAACTTGTAAGTTTTTGGGTCGGGTTGGGTGGATTAGTACCGACTTGTTAGACCCGTTCCATTTTATAGATCACTCTCAAAATGATAAAATCACTCATAAATTGGTAGGATATTTTAACAGTTCACAAGGATTTGAATGGCATGTTTGGAGTGCAAGGATAATCAAATATTACTCTTGTGATTGTTTTTTGACGATTTGCATAATTTGTATTTCACTTCATTAACATGGGAGGATTTGAGAATATGTTAATTGACATGTGTTAAGTAAACTATTATCATATAGATGTGAAAATTTGTATTCTTTAAGAAAATATGAAGCAAGCTAGATATTGTTTCTGAGAGTGCTCATAACCCGACCCGAAACCGAATGGGTTGGGTCAATATTTGACCCAAAATCAGTCAACCCAAAATACCCAGACCCGTAATCGTAAGCCCAACATGAAATCACCCAACCCGACCCGATTGTCAGGTCTAAAATAATATTATCAAATTGTAAATGAGATACATGGATTTTGACAATATAACCAAATCTAAATTATTCAAATAGTTAAAACATTCAAATTGTTTGGTAGAATAAGAGAATCCAAATTATTAAGGCTAAATACACTTGTATAGCCAAAATTTTGACGGTTTTGCCAAATATAACCACTTTTTGGGGAAATACCTACAATAGCCACTTCCATCCAATTCTTTGACGGTGTTAACCAAATAGTTGACTAGACTAACAGTATTGCTGAGGTGGTGGTGACAAATTTAACGATCGTTTAGTTAAATGTCAAATTTATTTGCAAATGGTTTGATTAATAATGACAAAGTAATAAGATGTTCACTTAGTATTGTACAAAACGACATATAATGATGTAATGACCAGGATGAGAGGGCGGTTAGCCGCATTTGCAAGGATGACATTTAATTGGGTAACTATCGTACCAAAGAGAGTTATCTTGACAACCAATCCCACACCCAAATTGTATATTAGATTTGCGATTAGAGTTAAAGTAATACATGCTATTTTAAAACTGAAAAAATGAATTAAATACTCCGAAAGTTTTATTTGGAGCATCCTCGCTGGTAATTTTTCCAGTGAGTTTTAGATGTCAATAAACCCGAATACAGAATAAGCTAGCCAACAACATCTATGGAATGAATATTTTAAGAAGTTAATCAATGTTTTTGGCCGTATACACATTTGATTGAAGTAAATTTGAATTGAGAATTTTAATTCGAACCTGAAATATGGGACGAAAGTAAATTCATACTCGTCATAAAGTATTGATAGTGTAAACTCTCTAGTCATGAAATAGGGGACGAAAGTCCTTGATTTTCCCTTTGAGAATTTGCACCCAAATATCATTAGCTCGAAGAAAAAAGAGGAGGAATATTAATCATTTTTCAAAAATCGAATCATAGAGTTGAATGCACATGGTTTTTGTCAGTTTACACTTTAAGTCGATAACTATCATATCGAGGAAAAGAATAATATATGTATTGGGATTGATTGACACCTACTTCCTCGAAACGTGACATTGAAGAATCCAACTCCACTTTTAAGTTGTGAGATCAGATATAAGTTTGGATTGCATATTGACTAATTTTCAATTAAAAAAAGAATGAAACAATTATTTTGTTTCACAATGGATATCAGATTAAGTCACAAAATGTGTAATAAGCTAAATCTTGATTAATTATTGTGTGATTAAAGAAACATAGATGAGCTTTTTCTAAAATAAGAATCTTGGCATATATAACCATGGATATTATATTGATAGTAAAATTAAAAGGTAAATAAATTTATTAACCAAATCTTTCAAAATTTTTAAATTATTAGTCAAACCTTTCAAAATAAATATTAGCCAAATGCTAACTTCTTGTTAACAGTTTTGTTAGTAATATTGACTTGACAACATGATACTGACTTGAAAGAGACATGTGGCGGTCAACAATCCAAAATTTTAGTATTTTGACTAAGATAAATATTACAAAATTACTAACGATAACAGACAAATAGCTAATATTTTGATGTGTACAAACGATTTGGCTAATATTTTTTATTTCTAAAGGTTTGACTAATAATTTGAAAAGTTTGAAAGGTTTGACTAATAGATTTTATTTACCTAAAAATTAAGTAAATATAGAAGCAAAGATTGGATAATTGTAGCATTTAAATACGATTTAATCCTCCTGCAACCATGAATATACATGAACTGACAAGATTAATTTCTACTACCAATACATAATAACATGTTGGGTTATAGGTATAATATGCCCCTCTACTATGACGTTTTATCAAACATGACCCTCTACTATTATTTACATCAAACATACCCCTGTACTTTGTAAAAATGATCAAACATGCCCTTTTGTTAAAACTTTCATCCAAACATCGTTAACCAAGGCCAAACTTTGGTTTTAGCGACACAAATGTCTAAAATATCCAAAATAATTTCACTTTAGATTTTTGTTTTTGTTTTTTTTGTATAGCCAAATAATTTCACTTTGAAGAGACTCAGAGAAATAAAACGGGGGATAAAACTGACATTTTTCTTGCCATTTGCCGATGTCAGGTAGTCTAAATCTCAGTTCAACCATGATTTGGTACGGAGGCAATTGCAACTAGATAGTGAGTTGGAAAAAGAAACTAAATTTAGTAAGGCATCAAAGACATTTGAATAAGAACTTCCCGGTGAAAGTAAAAGAAGAACGACAATGGCAGTCGTCATATAATACATGCAATAATTTATAAGCTAACAAATAATCAATCGAGAAAGGATGGATGTGTTGGGTGGGAGTAGCAAGGTATCTCTAATCCATGAATTCTATAGTAGTCAGGTGAGAGTTGTTGTGTATAATTATGTATCCTGCCTTCTTATCAGTATTGTCCGTATCAATTGTTGATACTTAATTGCAAAGTTACGATAGGTGTAGCAGGAATGCAATTGCTAAAAGGTTTTGGGAATTGGTGGTTGATTCCATTGATTGAATGGCTTTAAATAGCTATACTGTACAGATACATACTTAAAAAAGGACTTTAATACGTACAACTAGCTAGCCTAGGATAAATACAAATACAAGATAATGACAGGTGATTGCTAAAGATAATTACACTTGCAAGTTACACTTATTTGCAGTAATTATCTTTATCACGCCCCCCGCAAGATGGAGGCGGAGTCGACGACTCCAATCTTGGACCGTAAAGCAAGAAACGGTGCCAAAGGAAGGGCCTTGGTGAGAGGGTCGCCAAGCTGTGCTGCTGTACAAACATGTTGAAATTAAGGGCTTTTTATGCTGCACAAGATGACGAACAAAATGGTAATTAAGAGCTAAGTGTTTCATTCTAGAATGGAAGACAAGGTTCGAACAGAATGAGGCAACACCAAGATTGTCTGTATAAAGAACATGAGCTTTGGAAAGAGGAAAATGAAGCTCAGGCAGCAAGTTGCGAAGCCATTGAATTTCAGCAGTGGCGGCGGCAATGACTCGATATTCAGCCTCTGTACTTAACCGGGCAACCGTCCGCTGCTTCCGAGACTGTCATGAAACCAAAGTGTTTCCCAGATAAAGAAGGAAGGCAGAAGTGGGCATTTGATCATCAGGATACCCAACCCAATCTGCATCGGCGTAGCTAGACAGTGAGAGTAAGTGGAGTAGAGGTAGGACGAATGAGCAGGCCATGGCTGAGAGTGCCTTTTAAGTAGCGAGGTAGGCGCTTAACTTGTCGCCAATGAGACTGAGTGGGGCAATGCATGAATTGTGAGAGCTTATTGACACCGAAAGAGATATTTGGGCGGGTATAAAGTAAGTACTGTAATGAACCAAGTACTTGGCGGTAGAGAGTGGCATCTGCGGGAGCTGAACCATCAGAAATATAGAGTTTGGCAGTAGCAGCAAGAGGAATATATGTAGGATGAGCCTCAGCGATAGAGAAGACAGCAAGGACATCTGTAATATGCTTGTGTTGGGAAAAGAAATAACCATGTTCCGTCGGGGTAATATCAATGCTAAGAAAGTAGTTCACGTGACCCAATTCTTTGAGACTAAATCATTGAGATAGAGCTGTCTGAAATTTCCGAAGGAATGAAGAGTTTTTACCCGTCAAAAGCAAGTCATCTGTTGGAAATAAAAAATTATTTCCTTAATATAATTTGGTGGGCACGTTTGGGAATGAAAGTTTTGGTGGGTTTTTTTTTAATTTGGAAATGGTGGAGGAATTTTGATGGAAGGCTAGGTGGCAGAGAGTTTGAGAAAGGGAGCTCTTTCTTTATTGGCTTCTTTCTTTTCTTTTGTTTTCCATACTCTGACACACAAACTAGAGCTGCCTTTTATAGGCATTCCAAATACAAAAATCTGCTATAACCGACTTAAAGTTGTGGCCTTTAATTTTTTTCAATTCTTTATGCCACAACTACCAACCAACCTATTTAATATATGTTCTACACAAATCCATACTAACTGCTCACGTCTTCCAGCTAGTTCTGATATTTTCAATTTATTTAATTAATTAAACTTTATTTTATTTCAACACTCCCCCTTAAAGTTTAATTCGGTGTAACTCCGAGTAGCATCCTCAGTTTGACGAACACATCTTGCTTCAGTGGCTTTGTGAAAATGTCTGCAATCTGGTCTTCAGTCTTCACATACTTCAACGCCACTTCTTTCTGCTCCACGCATTCTCTCAAGAAATGATACCTTGTATCAATGTGCTTACTGCGATCATGAAACACCGGATTCTTTGCTAACGCCAGGGCAGACTTGTTATCCACATAAATTTTAGTTGACTCTTCCTGTGTCATGTTCAACTCCTTCAGCAACTTTCTTAACCATATTGCATGACACGCACACGATGTCGCAGCAACATACTCAGCTTCACAAGTTGACAGTGTCACAATAGCTTGTTTCTTTGAACTCCA